GGCCACTAGTCAGTCAGTATTCAGTCAACAAGCTGTATGCAGCTCCGGATACACCACGTAATGGTGTGCAAGGGGGAGCATTATCCCACCCACAAACACTGACTCTAAAGGGTTTAAAACAACAGATTTCTTTCAAGGAAAGGAGGAACTACACCAAAAAACCAGTCAGGAGCAGTCCTGTACCCAGCCTTTCTTCCATCCTTTTGAGTAGCTGCAGAGGTGGGCACTTTCCATTTGCCTCATCTCCGATGGCTTCTGCTTGGTACCACCATCTGTATGCTGCTGATCATGTCACAGCACCTTCCAACCTATTTCAGCTCTTCAGAGGGAAACCAGGGCATATAAGACCTAAAACATAGCAAGGAAATGTCCCTTGGATAAAAAAGTTTGATACACTTCTGTCTTTTCTCTCCCTTTCCCAGCTTTTATCACTTTGTTCAGGGACTTTGCTGATCACCTCTTTTGACTACAGCATTGATAAAAAGAATTTGAGTCTGATCACCTCTCCTCAACGCCAGGACAAACCTGCAGGCTCACTGTAACAGCAACACTGAGCTTCGGTTTAATTCTGCTTTTTGAGAAAACCCCAAATGCTCAAAGCAGTTGCCACTGGGAGAGGCCTGCCTGTAGGGCTGGCAGGGTCCCACAGCACAGCAGGGTACAGCCCAGCTCTGCAGGGAGGACACGAGTGTCTCCTTTTCCTTCCCTTTCGCAGACTAAGAAAAACATTAGTTCAGTCTTTCCTCTGGAGACATCCTTTCTAAGGTCTGCTAGGTGTTCTCTGCATTTGCTTGCAGGGTCTCTGGACAAACCAGACATGTTACACCACTTCTGACCCTACCAGAGTGGAACAAAATAAGTGCCTGAAAAAACAGCACTCTTGCTAGAATATCTTCAAATACTGGCCTTTTTTTTTTTTTACAGCACCTTAATATATTTGATAGCTGATGCTCTGTTTTCTGAATAGAGTTCAGCTGCACTCTAGTGGCTGTATTCAAGGATCTCAGGCATTTTGGAATTGCCTAAACTCTGTATTTCCACTTACTCAAAATAACACGATTTACTAACAATGGAAAATGTGCTTCTTCAAGTACACACTTCTTTTTTTTTCCATCCAGCAAAGTCATTGCTGAGGTTCAGTTCAGGAAGGGAATGTAGGATTTTGTTGGTGTGAAATCAGATTTGAAGCCAGTATCTCAGATGCAGTTTTATTTCAGATGCTGGTAGGTTGGCTGGCATCCACTTGACTGCTAGTGCCACTGAAGTGCCATATATATAACTCATGTATTCAACTTCAGCCTCAGCAGGTCAGGGTCCACCCTTGCTCTTGAGAAGTGCAGTCCTTAGTGCTGGGTGCCGGTCCTTAGGGCTGGGTGCCGATCCTTAGGGCTGGGTGCCAGTCTGTGAGTTACCCACTAGGTGGTGAGGAAGACTCATAGTTCCGTTCCTACAAAGCGCGGGTTTGAGCTGACAAAGCTTCAGTTTGGGATCTTGTATTAATGCACAGACATTGCGAATTCAAGGTTAACACTTGAGTGCAAGAACTAATGGAATAATGGAGAGGACATTTGAGGAGTAGAAAATGTGTCTCAATGATTATTAAAGACAACAAGGAATATATGACAATAGTGATTTTTAAAGGGTATGAAAGTGAAAGTAGATATAGATAGATGTACAGCTTGGGAATAAGGCATGTAATGTTAAAAGAGGAAATATAGGGTGCCAATAGTAAATATTCCCTGGATGAAAGGAAAAAAAGTGCCCAAGTCTTTTAAAAACAAAATTGTGCAGGACAAAAGAAATGTCATAAAGATTCACTTTGCTTTGGGACTGAGATGAACATGAAGACAATTCTTACGAGGTTTGAACTTTTTTTGCTTGGCTCTAGGAAAATTGATGTTTAAACCGAGTTCTTCTAGAAAAACAGGCTATTTTGAAAGCTTTTCAAAGTGGGCCCTTGGCTCCACTTTAAACAGGGTGCTGTGGAACAGAACACCACCAGAAAGAGGTGAGAGAAGATGGAAAATAATGACTCTCTTTGAAGGCAGCAGCATGTGGGCCGTGTGAATTTCCCTCCTGCACTGCCTAAAATGGTTAGGCTCTCACATTTCCAAACACCAGCCACCAAACCCTCACTACATCTTACAGCACTGTACCACAGGCAGATGTTACTTGACAACACATCTTTTATGTGAAGGTTGTGCCACAGCAGGCATCAGCTACAAAAGGCCTAATTCTTTAAAAAGAAACAAAAAAGGTCACATGGGAAAGGACCCTGATAATAGTCATAATATCGATGTTTCTCAACATTAAAAAAGCTAAATGCTTTAAGATCCATTCCAATGCAAGATTGCCAACTGAATTATATAACAAATTATATTATGCAACAGATACATTTGTGCTGCCTACATTTTATGTCTCCATTTCTTGCAATGTAAGGTTGAACTACTAAGATTTAAAGCATGTGATCATTCCCGCTAGACAGTTAGGACTGCCCCCTCTGAAACGTGTTTAGTTATCACCCAAAATTGCTGCAGTCAGCCTGTCAAACTTGACGCTCTTCCCCAGGAACCCTGTCTATGTGGCCTTGTCTGTTAGCTGCAGTTCATTTAACTCCCCTAAAGCTTTCCCTGCCATCATTCTGTCTTCCTCAGATGCCGTTGCTTCCCAGGCATCCTCCTGCAGACTCCTACCCAAGTCTGATTAGGTTCTGGCATGTGGGCTTGCACTAGTGTCGATATTCAACTTTTTCTCTTTCTTGATGACCATCAATGCTGAAACTGCCTCTCTGAGTGCAGGACACGAGGAACATCAGGAGCACATGGGTGGAAGTGCTACTTCTGAAGGTAGTAACAGTGACTCTGAAGAGAGAAACAATAATAAGTAGGAAAGAACAATTAAAATCATGAGGAATTAATGTGAGTTTTTTACCAGGATCTAGATTTTCCTTGTGTGGAATATGGGATTTGCCACATTGCCCTTCTGGGCCACAAAGACAGACATTTAAAAGCATCTTTCAAAACAACTCCCTGCAGTCTGGTCACAGCTGGGGGCCATGACTCATGCATGGTTATTTGTGTGTTGAACAACACTTTCCATTGACATGTTCAAATACAGACATGGTTTGGAAAGGCACTTTCAAATTGTTACACTGATCTAGCACAGTATCAGGAAACTCAAATGGAGAAAATACAAGGGGATGTTTCCTCAGCAAGACTCGCCTGGCCATCACATCCTACGTCTTTAGCACATTACAAAAGAAGTTCTAAAGACAAAGCTCAATACATGGGCAGCTGGGTTTTACAAAGTGCATGAAATATGCATGTAGCTGTAAAGCACTCAGTGACAGACAGGATCCAAGCAAACAACAATAATTAGATCAATGTGTTAGGACTTCCATGGTGGTTGCTGTCTAGACTAGAAGATGGATTTTAAAGGTGACTGCTTTTCTCCTATCTCAGCATCATAACAAATGATACTATGATTATTCTATACCATCATCTTACTAAATTTTGACCAGACTGATTAGTTTTATATCAGTATAAATAAGGAATAGGACAATGGAAATTAGAGCTTCTACACTGCATTTAGGATAGAAATTAGATTAGAGTGTAATGAAATACTGGAATTATAGCAGAGGCTTCTTCCTGTCTCTGCACTGTAAGAAACTTGTTTCTATGTTGAGGGTATAAGGGGGTGTCTCAGATGTATGCTATGGAATCTCCCCTTTGGCACTGCTGATAATGCACCACCAAAATAACTTCTCCCTTGGGAATTCTTTGTCACAAGTTAATTTAGTCCTATTCCATCCCCAAACCTAGATTTACAGTGAAAAGGTGGTGATATTTCTCTGTACATGCCTCAGATGATTCATGCAGGTCATTTCAAATAAGAACCCATAAAACAAAGCTGTAGCGTGTATTTGATAGATGCTACACAGTTTGTAACAGCTGTTAGAGCAGTTTAGTTTTAGAGAGCTTTAAATACCATGCTGCTACCATCATTTATCAAAATTTCTGCAGAAAAAGTAAGGTACTTTAAATCAGACTCTGAAGTTCAAAAGGAAAACTCTTCTGTACAACACTATACTGACCTGCAGATAAGATCTCAAATACAGGCACTTGGATGCCATCCACTTGCAAATTACAGACCCAAGGTTAGAAGGTCTTCAATGACTAGAAACAGTGAGAGTGATGCATTAGAAAGGAGAGAAACTTTCCTTTCCAGTGCTTCAGAACTATGCATATACTCTTACTAATACAGGAAGCTCACAAAATACCACCTTTGGTGCAGTCTGACGGAGCAGCTGTGAACAGTGACCCCAAGCATTCACACCAATGCAGCTGTGGGAGGAAGCTCCACATCAGGAACAGGGAGAAGGGACATGTGGCTTTTTTTAAGGGACCTGTGATGTGGTGATGCCTGAAGCGCCTTACATGACAGATGCAGTCTATCATATGTCCCTGTGGTGATGATATTATGGTTCTGTAGATTCTTTTTCAGACACAAAATTCCTCATTAGATGTAGCTGAATAAAGAAGCTCTGAAACAATGTCAATATAATTATTTTTCATCTAAGCTTGTCCATTTCTTAGTTTCACCAAGAGATTTCTTATTTGAAGGAATGCTGGCTCTAATCCCATCCCTAATTCATGCATGCCATGTTATACGCAGCTCCAACTACCCTTTCTTGCTGCAGAGATCAGAGAAAGACGATGTGACACTTCAGGTAGTGAGGCAAGTTGAAGAAGTTTCTCTCCAGTGAACGTTTTCTTCTTTGGAGGGGTGCTTGCCTGGGCTAGACTTGCACAACAGCCAATGTCTGCGCAGATAGCATGCCACTATTTTTATACTCTGGAGTGTGTACATAAATGTATTCAACTACAAGCAAACAAGAGTCCACAGGAGCTTACTTATGTGCAGCAGGCAGAACATTTTCAATGCTTTGCTGTGCTTCCTTGTTTACTTATTTATGTTCAGACAAAGGAAGTGGTAAGGCTGATGAGCTGACAGCTTTTCTGAGAAGAGACCATTTTGTGTCAGAGGAAGCTGTATATCTCTCAGAGGTCCTAACAACGGAGTCCTACATTTACAAAAACAACAGCTCTTACACGGAAGAAGCTGAGCATTAGGCAAAGGATTCCTGGACACGCTGGAGGTGGTCACGCACAAGGAATATATGGCTGTTCCACCAACAGTACTGCTCGAACCTTCTCTAACTGCCTAGGGGAGAAAACTTCACCATGGATTTAAGGAACATTCCGTACCGTTCAGACGTGGTTACCTGGAACCCAGACGACTTGGCAGACTACTTCAGGACAGTAAGTTCAGCTGTGCTTTGTCTTTGTGTGATGGAGGAGCAAACTGCTGCAACATGGTGCTAAATTTACATATTTTTATAATGGGCAGAACTTGTTGCAAAACCAAAAGCAAAATCACTGACAAGAAGCTCAGCTAAACTGGCCAGCAAATTCTGTAAATGAAGCTTGAAAGGGTGTTTGAAATGGGGTATAAGAGAAACTTGTGGCTTTTCAAGAAAATACACGCTTTGCTACAATTGTTGATATAACACATTAACAACTGTAGAAGGCATTAATGTGTGAGAAGTACAAGTTTTTTAGCTCTTCTTCAATGATTTTCAGAAGACGTTTTGTTTTTTCAAGTTGCTTAGTGTTCACAAGTGTGCCTCTGAATGTCTTTGCTAATCACATCCACGAGAACCCAGCAAGAACTCCACAGTTGTAGGTACATGGACTCCACATTTTTTAGCCTCAGTTGGAAAAACCGTTTGCCTTTTGGTTTGACTTCCCCCTTCTAAAACTTCTTGGCCAAAACCCATGGCTCAAGGTTAGCAGCTGTCCCCTCTTTCTGGTTACTTCTTCTGATGTTCCTTATGTGACCAGCTGGGAACTTCCGTTTCTTTTGACATCTTTTTCACTTGTGACTATCTATACATTTCATTTTAAAAGGCAGAGAAGTTTCCACACTGAAGAAGTACTCTGAAAGGCAGTACAGGAATGCTGAAACCTTTCTGATTGCCCAGGAACGTGTAACTGAGCCAATTTTACTACAGCTTCATTTCTCTGTGTTCTCTGTAAATTCCTCATTCTTCAGGATCAGAGACAGGGCCTGCTCTGTGTCCCTTGCTCCTCCCAAAGTCCAGATTTTAACATTGAGATCAACAAGATTTGGGAAGATTTGGGAAGATTTGGGAAGACTTTCAAGCACTGCCAGCATAGGTGCTTAATTTTCAAGTGAGCTGCCAGACCAGCTTTAAAAAGCCTGTAAGAGTTTGGGCTTCATTTTAAAATCACATAAAGCTCATTGTTTCAATGGCTCCTATAACTCTGTGAGAGTTTTATTTGAGGAGTTGAGGCAAGTTTGATACTAGAATGCAAAACCAGCTAATAAAGACAAGCAGCTCAAACACAAAGCCTGTGTTTGGAAACTACCAACTACCTGCAAACCTCTAATTTTAGGTTCCTCAGTTTCTGCCAAGTAAGAATTCTTCACACTTAAGAGTAGTAACATCTGGTGAGTTGACTTTAAGCCTCTGCTAATTTATACTATGCACTGTAAAACGTAAAAGCAAAGCTGTTCATACTGGTAATATGTTAATGAAATAGTTATTTTTAATAGCTAAACAGTATTTTTCATCAATTACTTTACAAATGAGATTAGGTCTCCGTCCCACTGATGTATTCTACCAAGTATGGCAGCTGCTCACTGCTGCACACAGACTTGTGCTGGTAACATCATGACAACGCTCACTGACTGACAGAGACAGTATTTGCACCTTGAAGTCCTCAGTCTGCACAAATGTCTTGCTCTGTGTCCTGATGCGTTTATCAGAGTTTGGACTGTTTCTGCATGTGCGTAACTGAAGTGTCCTAAAAACATCCTCTCAGCTGTTCAGATGTTTTCAGGACCTGTTCTCATATAACACCAAGCTACGAGATTATTCCTTAAAATGAATAAATAAGATAAAACTAAGAAAGGACATAATGCTCCCTACAATATGTTCTCTGCTTTAGGGGAACCGTCGCAGCAGCACAGGATCATGTGTCTGCTTAACTTTCCCTAACTAAAGTTTCAGCAGGGCTAGAGCCATTCTTCTGTCCTGAAGGGTCCCAAATGTCACTTTGCCCACTCTTTGGGTTCCTTCTGGTACGGACCTGATCAACTTGGAACAGGAAAACGTCATTCTAACCAGGTGAAAAATACAAGCAGTGTTCTCACATGCTGTTTCTGATCAAACAAAAGAAAAAAAAACCAGAACCCTGAAGACACCCACTGGAAATATTTAAGGATCAGGTCTTGCTATACATCGCTAAGGTTTGGGCTTGTTGGTTTGCTCTTTATTTAAGTCCCTCAAGTTACTGTTACATTTTTGCATGGTAGGACCAGGAGCTTTATTTTATTATGTATGTGATCAGCTTCTAAACTGCCTGTTCTTGTCCTAAATACTACCACAAAACAGAATATTGTGGAAAAACTTTCCAAATACTACAGATAATTTCCAGGACTAACAAGCAACATATCTATCCAGAGGAGGAAGCTTTTGGATCACAATGAATTCAGAGACTGGGATCAGGACTTCAGTATTCCAAGATACCAAGTATTTGTTGTGCTTCCTGTTTTCCACAACTGTCACTACCACAACTATCCGTTTTCCAGATACTTCTTTGGGCCATGCAACTGTTTTTTAAATGTGAGGAATTACATGTTACTAAATGGATGGAACTGTCAAGTCCACTGCAGAATTTTTCTCTTAAAAATCCATGTTTACAGAAAAAGATGAGCCATTTAGACAGGCTCCGGCATATGAAATGGTGATTTGGAGCATCTACTCAAAGCAAATGATATGCCTAAGTGTGTTCATCCGTTCTTAAAATGAAGGTGCAATAATCATCTTCTTATCATTGACAGTTAAAGTATAAGGACTGTGAGAAAGTCGTGAGGAAGCACAGCATAAATGGACAACGGTTTCTGGTAAGTGGATCTGTAAAAATTCCTTCCTGTAAGATTCCCACCAAGTGATTGCTTCAACTTCTTAGTTTGCATCAGCAGATGCAAAGTGCTGAGCTCGAGGTGGTTATTCAGGTATAAATATGAGAAGTAATTGCCTTTGCTAAAATCAGCCAGCCACCTCCTTTACATACAGAGCGCTGGCAGCCCAAGCATGTTGTTTAATATGCATCTATTTATGTACTTTTTAAATGACAGGGAGGTTATAAACCACAATCTTGTCTTGAGTTCATCTGTTCCTTTATAGGAAGTGCTTGCTTTGAAGTACTAACTACAGAAAACTCACATTTATTAATTGTCCTCTCTTACTAAAGAAGATACAGACGTGGGCTGGATGACTGGCTTTCTGGTGTAATCACTATTTCATGCCTATATACTTGAAATTAGGTTTCTTTAAATTTTGTATATAGAAATGTAGAAAATCAGTGAACTTAAAGAGCAGCAAAACCAGTAATAGTTTAAAAATAAAAGTCCTACTGCGTTTAAATCAACATTGCTCCAGGCTTTACCAACAACATGGCTTAACTTTAGAAAAGCTGACAACTTCCATTAACACAGCAAATGGTTTTGGGCCTTACATATACATCCACGAGGATGTGTAAGGGCTTTTATTATTACTTTATTTTATCTTTATTTTATTTTATTTCCAAATATTAACTACACTATTTTCCCCCAAAGTAGTGATTTTGATCATCTGTACAATTAATGAAAGTGGGAAAAGCTATGCACACCTCTTCTAAAGCCTTATATTTCATTTACTTGTCCTAATGGATCAAGCTTTTTGACAGAGAACATCACACTTTCAGGCACCCTTCACTGGAACAGGATGTGACACCTCCCTCCTACTGGGTGGAGTCAGAATTATTCAGATGTGTGTCACTGTCACAGGATCTATCCTACCAACCCCTAAGAGCTACTCCTTGGCTCAAGCACCGAGGAGCTGTGGCTGGAGTGGGAGTTCTGGCTCTGGAAGCATTATGAAATTCCAGGGTTTGTGAGGTACAAATAAGATGAACAATAACTGCGATTCCTAAGGGATTGCTATCATTTTGTATTTCCAGAATGTTTCTCTAAATACACAGGATCATAGAATCGACTGAGTTGGAAAAGACCTTTAAGATCATCAAGTCCACTCTTTCTCCCAGGACTGCCAAGTCCATCACTAAACCATGCCTCAGAGTGCAGCAGTTCTTCAGAAGCATCCTAGCAGATGCAAAGGATGCTTTTGTATTAAGTAAGCAGCTGCTCACCTCTGCTGAGGCTTCAGCTTTTAACCTCTTGACCTACTTGTCATTTGTATAAAAACTTCTATCTTGTCATTACATAGAAAGGTTCCCCTGTGAAACCGAACAAAGGAGGCTTTCAGGGGAGCATGCTGGAGTACTGCGATCTTGAGAAAACAATTACTGCTCTGTATGAATGCTTTTTCTCAGCAATACCTTTTTACATTTTGTAAGTTACTGGAACGTGCCAGATTACAGTAGCGCAGAGGGAACTGTTCGGACTGAGGGCTTGCAGGTTTTCTGTCTGCTGTCAGATCTCTCTGGTAAACCTGACTGTAACAGTATTGCTGTATCAGAACACCCTAGTTTCAAAGCCACATTTCTGTACCCACTACAAGGCTACCACCAGGAAAGTCCAGTTGAGCCGTGGTAGGAAGGAGACTGCAGCGATCCCATGTAACTTATTCTAATAAAATTCTCTAATATCTAAAGTAGCACCATAGCCCTTTTATGAGAGTTTAAACTGAGAACTTTTATCGGCTTTATTGCCAGAATAAAATTCTAGAGAGACGCTTTAAAAGGTCTTTAGCAAAAATTCTAAATTTAGAAAAAAGAGAGTACAATTTTTCTGTGGTTTACTCCTGAGTATTCCCAGAGGCAAAATAGTGCTGGAAACCAGAGATGGGATTAGTCCTGTGCTGAAAATCATTGATACCATTGTGTACCAATGCAGAATTAGAAACCTCTTACTGTTGGCAGTGAGACAGAAAGAACCAGACTATCATCCATGTTCCAAAGAGAGTGTGTGAAGCTTGTGAGTGACTACACTCTGTCCTAAACTCAGCATTGAACATAATGGAAGAAGAAAGGGGCTGACCCTCTCTGCAGCAGCATAGCAAAGCTCTCAAGACTTAGCGCAGCTCAGCTTCAGGTCAGGAGTAACCTGTGATCTAATCACTGGGTTATGGTTGAAGGGGGAAGAAACACACACACAGTTTCTAGAAAGACTTCTGTTAGGCTGCAAAGGCTGCTCTTAAGTCCAAGGAGTTTTCAAACCATATCTCCACTAGAACATGTGATTTTACATGTACTGTGATGCTACAGGTATGGTTCTGAGCACAAAACTCCAGCAAATGCTGTTCTATTTTAAAATCTACAGTTTTACCATGAAAATTCGCAATTGCGCACAACTTTGCCTGATTTCACTGTGCAGACATAAAGGAATTCAATATATCTAGCTTCTGAAGTCACCTAAATACCATATTTTTTACCTGCACTAAAAAGATGTGAAGCAAAATAGCCTAAAATCAGAATCTATGGTAGAAGTTTGCCTTCCCTACCAGGAACAGCCCTTTACAAAGGGCATTTTGTTGCATATTGCCTTAAAACTGTAAGTGTTTAAAAGAGCATTTAAAGTGTTCTGTCCGTTTATATTTTCTGTGAGAAGCATAATTCCACAGTTGCCAGGAGGAATGCCACTGCTGATGGGCTCAAGCAGACCATGTTCTGCTGGCCTCACACCATAATCAGTAGCACAGGATGTTACCAGGATGTAGCTCTCTATCAGTTGCTTGACACTGTCCAACAAGATGAATTATGGTATCTCAAGGGTATGTTTTCCTGTATGCTAGGTGATGGCAACGTACAATGAAAATCCAGAAAGCAAGAGAACAAAATGATAAAATATTAGAAGACTTAAAAATAGTGCTGGAATTCTTTGGGTCACTGTCTGTCCACCCGCTTTAGCTTCAGCATCTTGACAATCTCTAGGAGAAAGCTGTTGCAGAAGAGGGTTTGATTCCAGTTCTTTTGAGAAGCAGCTTGCCTGTAAGTCAATGTGACTCTACACCATCAGTAAAGGACTGGATTAGAACCCAAATCAGAAAAGCAAATGATTTGATTTTAACTTTGCACAGAATCCCATTAATCCAGGAAGAATGGCTCATCTGCTGGCAAACAAACGCTCTCCTCTGGGAAGTGCTGGTTTAAGATTTTACTTCTCCTTACAGGTCATTATGACAAGCTCTCATTAAAACACTGCAGCCATATTCTAGAAATACTTCTCTTTGAAGTTACATGTGATTACTCTGTTGAAGTCCTTTGTGTGTAACTGAATACCCATGATGTTTGTTAACCTCCAGCTGGTTTTATGCAGCTACATAACATAAAGACCAATATCCAGCAAAAACAGAAAAAGAGAGAGAGGATTTTTTGACGGCAATGGGTTCACTTCTCTTACAAGCTATGGGAAGGACAGGCTGTTATCTTACACTGCTTTTCTATGCACTTGCTGTTCCTGCCAGTTGAGATCTGATGCCTCATTTTGCGTATGCAAACTTCTGTTGTGGCAGGGCGTTCCATGCACAGTTCTGTGACATGTACCATGTGCTTCCTTTTCAGAACATGACTGAAAATGACATTCAGAAATTCCCCAAACTCCGAGTGCCGTAAGTAAAGCCAAGCCAATTTAACACTAAATTATTTTAGCTGGTCTGCAGTGAAAACTCATAGGAAATAGGGGGCAAATGATTTGCAAGTGATTAGATAGAGACCTGTTGATTGCGGTGTACCAAGAAAGAAAAGTTACTCCAAAATGAAAGGAGGGTTGTCATGGTTGCTCCAGCACAATGATACAATACAGAACTATTGTCTGGGGGATGTTCAAAACAACTCATCCATAAGTTCTTTGACAGCAGCTACACAAAGGTTAAACTTTTTGCAAGTACTATGTTTAAAGTATGATTTAACTGTTTGGTGTTTAACTGTTAACTTTAACTCAAAGGAATAAAGAAAGTCCGGTATGTAGACAATGGGTGAGAAGTGCAAGTGATTTTCATCATGTGCTTTTCCTGTAGGTAGGCATTAAGGATAAACCAGTCTGGAACATTTGATTTGGTGTTCAATTGTTCAGCTTCCCTGAGCTCTTGTGGATCAGGCCCTGGAAAAGTTTCTAATTTATCTGAATAGCTTCTGGAGTTTTAAAGAAGTTACTTATGAAGAACGTTACCTCATTAAGTTAAACTGAGTAACAGAGAAATCAGCTGTTTCTAATATTTTATGGTGGAAATCAAAGGATTTTATTTTGCTGTGAGTTCTGTGGTACATATTTAAGCTGGACATTATGAGGTTCCTAACCATAGGACATGTGGAGCTCTTCATGGTCTTCTAAACAAAGTAAGGAGGAGAAAAAGAACTCAACTCAAGTTATGCCAACATGGTTTGCTGATCATTTCCCAGCTCCACACTCACGCCTTCTATGCATTTCTCAATTTTGCTACATCAGATATGGTCTGCTTCACCTTTTCTGATGCATCAGGGCTTGTGTAAGAGGTTTTGGTGAGGCCAAGAGCACTGAAACGTTCTGAAACACCTGTGTGGTCTGTCACATTCACATGCTTCTGGGTAAGCTGGTGGCTAGATTTGAGGGCAGGCAGATACCTCTATTCAGATCAGATATGCAAGGACATTACGTGTTTCTTCAGATCATATCTGTACTTTCACACAATAGCGATTGGTGGTGTATGAGTATTAGCTAGTGGGACCAGAAGTATCAAAGACCTTCCTACAAAAGAAGATGCCCCAATGGCTCAGCATTTGGCAAAAGTGCTGTGTGTTCTCCTTGTTTGAGCTTCTGGTTTTGAGAACTTCTGATTTGCTTTCAAATTTCTGAGTCACAAGCAGTCAGTGGAAGGTCTAATAACCCACACATACAAGAGATATTAATGTCATAGGTGAATAGTCAAAATGAAATCTAACAGTGTGGATTTACTCCTGTCTCCTCATCTATGATGTTTGGAAATTGAAATCTCCTCATCTATAATGTTTTGGAAATTTGATTTTCACAGTCACTTGCCTTGTTTCAGCCCAGCAGCAAGCAGAGAGCCTTTTCTAGTCAGATCTGGGCTTCCCAACAAGAAAAGAACTTGAAATTAAGAGCTTTATAAGAAGACTTAAACTTGTTGCCCAACTTGAAGAACTGAATGATTAAGTAAATTAATCAATCTGAATGAAAGTTCTGGAACTAATGCCCTTGTTCTCAACTTTCCCCACACTTACAAAAGGGAAACAGTTCACTAGACTATTGTGAATACACATGGGACAAGGTTGATGTTATGTGGGATCCTCAGTGTAATGCCACTGTTTGCAGCAGGAATTTAGGGCTTTAATGGGAAAGGGAAGCAGCTGCCATTTAAAAACAAAACCAAACCAAAAGCCCCAGCAGAATAAAATACATCAGTAAAAGAACTTGTCAGGTTTTTAACATTAATTTCACCACTTCAGAATCTCCACACTCTCCCCAAAGTGCAAAGTGCTTGCTGCTGACTGCTACTACAACAGTCATACCCTACTTTCATATCATAATGCAAACCTCACCTAATAGGAAGAGGTTTTCTACAAGCTGAAACACACATTAGCATATTGTATAGTATCTGTTGCTTAACAACAGTGCTAAATTCCGAGCATGTTCTATAAAAATGACTAATATAAATAGCAAGAGTCGCACCTGCAGCCATTGGCAGGAATAAAATGTACATGTACAAGAGCCATTGCTCTCCAGTAACTGTAGCAGGGTTATGCTGACTTACATGTACCCAGTGCACAAGCCAGCACTACAACTGCAGAGGCTTTGCAAACCACAGCCTCCCTCCATCTGCACCTCCTGAGCCTGGTATGTGGCTCTAAATGTGGTATACTAAATGTATACTTTTGAGTAAAGCTACTGTGTAAGTGCTAAATATAAACGTGTCATTACTTGGGGTGATTCTGTGACATTTACAATAACCTTTAAGTGTCTAGGCTGGAGCAGCTCTGCTCTGGAGCCAGGCTGAGAGAGCTGGGCTGGGTCAGCCTAAAGGGGCTGCAGGAAACCTGGAGAGGGGCTTGGGACAAGGGCCTGTAGGGACAGGCCAAGGGTAATGGCTTTAACCTGCCAGAGGGGAGACTGAGATGAGCTCTTAGGCAGAAGCTCTTCCCTGTGAGGGTGCTGAGGCGCTGGCACAGGGTGCCCAGAGAAGCTGTGGCTGCCCCATCCCTGGCAGTGTTCAAGGCCAGGTTGGACACAGGGGCTTGGAGCAAGCTGCTCCAGTGGAAGGTTGGAACTGGATGAGCTTTAAGGTCTCTTCCAACTGTAATCAGTTCAGGATTCTATGATTCTGTGAAGTATCATGGGCCATTTCCTGAAACTAAGAGAACCCCTCTGCAATCTTCTGTTACTATTAACGGAAGTTTTGAGAGCTAATCCTCGTCAGCTGTGTTACAGGTGCACATCTCCATGAATTTTCTTGGGGCTTATTTTTAAATCAAAAAAAAAAGGATTTAAACACCATTTTGAAAGTTAAAATATCTCACAAAATCTTTAAAACTCTCCATTAAAAGGGCTGCAGACTACGGAAAGCTTTGCTAAAACATTTACATGTGTAAGGGTACCATATAAAAGTGGCTGACATCTCCAAACAGTCCTGCAAGTTTTATTCTGGCAACCTTTCTGCAGTCAAAAGAGTTAATGGACAAGAAGTCTGCACAGGATGCACTGCACTTGCAGCGGCCATACACAGATTTCTTGAGGGATCATAACAAACTCCACAGTCCACGTACCCAGCAGGGATCCCCATTCTCGTCTAGGGTCGCCTCCTACCTTTCTTGTATGCCTTAGAGAGGTCTTGTACACCAGGTGATTTTTACTGGCATCGTTAAGGAAATCTTTTCCACATGTCTGTTGGGGCATTACATCTTGTGGAGGTGGAAAATGAAGACTGACTGAATGAAGAAAATAATAAGTTTTACTGTCGTTCAGAATATTTAGGGTGATGGTGCTGTAACTCTTTGGAACCCTGAGATCTCTTGCACTTATGTTGCTATTAAAGGAGTTTTAGAGAAAAGTTTATAAAATCAACTGTGTAATGCTGTATTTTGACTCCTCATGGAAGCCTTGCTTTCATTCCCACTTACATGCACATAGAATCTAAGCGCAGCTGAGGCACCAGGTCCCAAAGTAAAAGGCAGTTTACAGCCCCGCTCACCACCTTCACCCTTTCCTTTGGACAAAAGGGAGGTGAGAAAAGCCACGTGTTCTTTGCCAGTTCCGTGCCATAGTTGAACTGCTCTGGGTGGACACAGGGAAGTGGGAGTGGAGAGAGATTCTGGCGCTGCTGTAAAGCTCTAGGCGCTTATTCCGGCTAAACAGAAAATGCCACCACATAGTATTTCTACTTGAATATATACATGTCTGTTTGAACATGCAGACTATCACCTTCAGGTCACGTGGTGGAAAATTAAGAATACTAAACATGTCTTAAGAATTTAAGCATTGTTGCCATTCCATGGAAAGAAACATGCCTTTCTGTTCCAGCGACCTACACAGATCTGCTACGGCGCTGAGGGCAAAGCTTTGAACACCTGATTACAGGTGATGGATTCCAGTCTCCAGGTTCCAGACCACAAAGGGTTTTCCCAGTTTCACTCGGTAGAAATCTGTGGCCCAGGAGACATTCAGTCATTATCCCATTGCCACAGACCTTTAAGGACCAGCAACATTTGGGACAAGTAATCTATTAGTAGGAACATCTTGTTCCTACATTTTGTCCTTTTTCCCACTGGGAAATTAAGATAAATAATTGTGGCATGACCATCAGCTTTAGAGATTTTTTTTTTTAGTCGGGAATGTAGCTGTCAACCTAAGTAAGAGAGAGCATCAGGGTTGACCTAACCATTTCTTCAGTTATTAATAGCTTAGCAATCAGTTACAACCTGCTTTCTTCAAACATACACTATGCTTAACACTTGGCATTTTGTAGCAGTATGAAAACCTGTTAAAAACCATAGTGTTACGGGTTCTGTTGAGCTCATTCATGTTACTCTTGTACTTGCTGTATCTTATGGAAGAACCATCTAAGTTAATATTAATGCTGCTGGGTTAACACACACACCTGAAGGTTCACAAACAACACACGGCATCCTGAAAGAGTGGCGCACTGGTGCAACAGGGAAGGGATACGGTACATATTACACAGCAGACACTGAATCTCTGCACAAAACGAAACTCAGACCTAATCATGATGCAGTTAACATTTTGATCATGAATCTAATGAAACAAAAGGCTCAAGGGACACACGGAGTTTTGTTATTGCTCATTATCATTATTTCCAGTAACATAAGGTCATAAAGGTTTATACTTGTGGTCAACAAATGGGAGTCTTTCAAAATGTTTTAAAGAACATTCAACAGAATGCACCTCAGTTGATGGGATCAGAATCAGTGAGCACGAAAAAGCCATGGTCTCATTCAGAATAACATCGGTGGTTGGCCAGTACCTGACCCATGATATAAACACTGAGTTTAATCACTGACACTCTTATTGCTTATTGTCTTGAGAGAAGACGTTTCAAAGTTTTTGGTAAGTCCAGGCACTGCTCCAGGCTGCTGATCCCTTCAGCTCCTCAGCAGCAGGGCACTGGCAAATCTGGGACTGGAAATTTTCCACCTTGGTCAGGAAACTTGTAGCATAGCCATAGCACTTGTGAAATTTTTCAGTCATAAAGAGAGCATCATTGCACTAAAGCAGATCACTGCATCTGCCAGTTCAAACATGGAAGTGAGCTGAATTCTGAAGGGGACACATTCGGACCCTACAAACACAGCACAGCCTGAAAGTCGTTCTGTTTAAAGTGCAAATGTAAGCATTAAGCACTCTGTGGGGACCCTGTCTTTCCAGAAGGTATGCCATGGGCAGAGGTGGGTGTGTGTGCACACATTCTCTCTCAGCTGGGAGGCTAAAGGTTGTTGAAAGGTTTAGAACATAATGGACATTCAGCCAGTTTTGAAGCTAATGTAGTAGTATTGCATCTGCCCAACAGACTTTTCCCAAAGGCCAAAACAAAGACTTCAGCACCAGTTATGCTCTCGACAGTGTTCAGTCTGCAACTCTGCAACCTCCTGGCCCTAGAGGACTTTGCCTTTCATCTTTCTCTCCTATCTTAACTCCTTTATCCCCTTCTCGTAGAATGGATTATATTCAGACCAGTATGTGCACTCAGTGAGCAAAAGCCGAGTCAGAGTCCTGCTTTGGGGCTGGGTTTAGGTTTCACTTTTTCTGATTTTCATCTTCCTCCCAGTCTGAAGCCAAGCATGAGGTGGAGGAGGCATAAAGAGAAAGAGAAGTCTGAGTAACATTTTCTGCAAGTGCTGTTGCCTTATCGGCGCCTATCGCCCACTCCCTGGCTCAGAAAGCAGTGTGGTTTGGGCACTTCCTTCCTCACTGCTGCAAACTCAGCTGCTCAGCGCACCCACTTCTGTCATAACCTTGCCTGCAAAGCATTACCCTTCTTAACTTTGCTTTCTTCTAACAACCTTTCTAAGCCATTGCTCTGAAACATTTCAAATAAGCTTGAAGATTAGACACTGTTACTTTAAGCAACAAATAAGTAATTGTTTTGGCATCAAAAATAAGATGAGCAACATTCTCCTTTCAGGTTTTCCTCAAAACCCAGTTGATGTAAATGGTCACAGCAGCCAGGCCAGGGTTAGTCCAGAAAGCTTCCTAACACATCTCATTCTTATCCACGGAAGTCTGAATAACCAGAATGATTAGCTCTAAAGCCAGTGATCTTCATTTCATTTCTTTAGCTGAAAAAAACCCACAGTATTACGAAAGATCCTTCCTCCACCTCTTCCACACCAGAGAACAAGCCACACACCAGTTCCGTAATCCACTTCTCCACCAAAGCACTGGTGCACTCAGTGCACTGTTAACCCTGGAATGTTTCCTGGTGTGTGTTTCACGTGGAATTTATTATTTACACGGCAACTTCCTTACCACCTGCAGCAGGACAGTTCTTATGCAGAGGAATGTTGATGGCATGGGAAAGAACATACATTATATGCTCATATGAAGCATATGCCTGTAACTTGGCTTTTTTCTTGCTTTGTACAATTTGCTTGGGTAACAGTGTCAGATTTAGCTGTAATCCCTCTTAAATGATTAACATTTGTGCATAAGCTTACTTCCAAAGGGGCAAGTGACGCAATATTCGCTGCAAATAGAAAAGTGCCAAGTACTGTCTTAAGAAAAATGTAAAATGTTCTCCCTCTGCCTTTCTATTTTCATACCTGGATCCTTAAGTACAAATCCTCAACTTCACATTACTCTTCACCCTTTTCTGACAGCGTAACCATGCTGATCTGAAATCGCCTGTTCTTGCAGGCAGCCTTATCTCTCACCATAGAATTTTCCCTAATACAACAGAGCAACCCTATGTCTTGAATTTAACATTCAATCTGAAGTACAGTAAGGCAAGTATTAGGGAAGTAGCAAGGGCAAGACAAGGGATGGTCAAAATAAGAGAAAGATTTTAGCATGGTTCAGGATGTTGGCATTTTTTTTTAATACTAGATTGCTAGAAAGCTTGTCCTCAAGTCCCAGCCCAGAAAACAGTTAGACATGAAAGCAAACACAAATGAGGTCACTTGGAAAAACCTAGGGGATTATTATTGCAGAGTAACTGAAAAAAGACATGGAAGAAGAAGAAAAGCAAAATAGAGTGGTGAGTGCCTGGCCATAAACACAGATTCTACAATACTGAGATGAAGTGTGATTGACCCAAAATAAGATGTTTGGAAAAGAATTCTGCACTAACAAACAACACAGTGAAGATTGTACAGAATTTAGAATCTGAGACAGTCATGTTGAATTAATGTTTTTTTTTTCATATTACTTTTATATCCGCAATTACTGTCTCACACAGACCTAAATAATATAAGCTAGAAGTCAAATGGGATATTTTTCACCAGATGTATGCAACTGATTTCCTTTGGCTGTCACGGGACCTTCTCGGTGGGGCATCACTCAGAAAGAAAGCGAGTAAGAAAGGCAGTTTCAGCCCATGACTGATCATAAGCTCTCCTTGAAACAAAAACATTATTTGAAACAAAATTGTTTGCCTCAACTCAAAGGTGCTGAGGCAAACTCCATTAATGGCAGAGCAGCAGCTCCCAGTACTCAGCTCAGGGATGCCTGCCCTGCAACCTCAGCACTGTTCTCGGGGAGTCAATGAGAAAACTCTCAGTACCAATGTCTGTTCTGGCTGTGGATGGCAGCAGAATTAGAATCAGAAATAAACATTCCTGACTGCAGTTGTGCTCAGGATTGCATTTCCTTGGTTGATACTCACCCTACTGCTCTTTACAACTCATGCATGAGTGACAACAAACACATTGCCTTGGAAAAATCTCTTTAGACATAAAGCTGTAGTCTTTATGCATTCCACTATATTTCTGCCCTGCCCTGCAAATGTGTTATAACATGGAACTAAAACAACCTTTGTACTTTCTTTACTGGAGGGACCCCGGATTAGGTGTATCTTGGTGGTGATATCTTGTAGAGGGAGGGAGACAGAATAATACAGCAGACAGAGGGGACATGTAACCCTGCTTTTGCAACCATCAGCTTGGTGGAAGCTGTTTCCTGAAGCATTATCTGCTTTTCCATGCAAAATAACACAAATTCAGTTGCCATCATTCAAAGCAGCAGTGTTCTAGTGCGTGACATCTAGCACACCCTAAGCATCTAAGGCTTGCTGGGCTTAATGCTTGTTTTTAAACTTGATCCAACAACATGGAAGCTTGTCTCTGTAAAAAAAGCCCAGTTTTCAATTGGGCATGCTGTAGTGCAACTTTGCAGCACAATGATCAATTCAATATTCTTAGTTAGTTTAGCAAATATCGAGGGGAAGCAGCTCAGAAAATGGCAAGTTTCAAGGATATTTTTCTAACTATTTTTTGTCTTTCTTTTAACTAGAATTGTAAGTAAATTAAGCAAAGAAATAAACAGGAATGAAGGGAGGCTTTCTTTCCTTCCAAAATGGTAAGTAAACCAATTCAGCTTCTCTTGTCAAAGCTTTCAGATCTATCCTTTCTGACCTGTTCTCCATTTGATCAATAATACCTGGGTCAGAGGGATAGCCTGAAATGATATAAAATCCAAGTCTGTTTAGTTAATGTTGTCTGTTAACAATAGCAAAGACTGAGCCCACAAAGACCGCAGGTACTTCTGCCATGCCTGGAACCAAGTAACATACATTTCATACAGTTTTCTACCAGAGATCAATCAATCTTTAGGAATGCTAAAAGCTTAGGCACACATTACTGAATAAATAAGTCATCATTAATGCATTTTGCACTCCTATAGATCATTACACTTTTTAATACTTTATAACTTATTGGATATAATCTGAAGGGGGCCTATAAGGATGCTGGGGAGGGACTCTTCACTAGGGACTGCAGTGATAGGACAAGGGGTGATGGGTTCAGACTTAAGCAGGGGAAGTTTAGATTGGATATAAGGAAGAAATTCTTTACTGTGAGGGTGGTGAGGCACTGGAATGGGTTGCCCAGGGAGGTTGTGAATGCTCCATCCCTGGTGGTGTTCAAGGCCAGACTGGACAGAGCCTTGGGTGAGATGGTTTAGTGTGAGGTGTCCCTGCCCATGGCAGGGGCTTTGAACTGGGTGATCTTAAGGTCCTTTGCAACCCAAACTATTCTATGATTCTGTGATTCTGTAATATTCTTGCAATAGCTAAAAGAGCAGAAACTTGCAAGAACACTGAATGAGAAAAGAACAATTTATGTTCCTATGTGGTGAACATCTAAGCCTACTCAATATAACATGTTTCTACATCAGCTGATGACGTGAGTTTACACCTTTGCATTTACTGGAGTTGAAAACTAGAATCGAAACCCATAAGAATATTTAGCAAGCCTACAAATATTTCTGAACTTGACTTTCGGCAGCTTGACTGGAATTAGGAAAGAAAGTTTCAGTTTTCAGCACTGAGGCCCCTGCTAGATTTATTTTCTGAGTCCCCTTGTTTCTAAACCCTTGACCTCAGTGACTTGAATTTGTTTCAAGACAGTTTAGCTTACATTAGGATCCTGTACGTGAAGTACAAAGCAGTGTGATTTTGGCATTTTGGGCAGAGTTAAACTCATCCATGCAAAGTTCATTCTACTGCTAAAGCTAACTGTTACCTTTATTCACAACAGATTTTAGTATGCTTCAAACTTTTAAGAATGGCAAATGGAAGGACTTTAACTTTTTTGTATCTTTGCTGTAGGGCCCAAACACAAAAAAGTCCTGAAGCCCCAGGTGAGTGTGAGCTGGCAAAGAGCCTCTAACAACAAAAAATGCTTAAAATACTAAAATACTAAGTTAATCCTTGCAGGGCACAGTAAATGAGGGGAAGAGGAGGGAGGGGACAAGGGAACAGAACCCAAAACAATAAACAGGCAAAGACGAGAGCATGAAGCAGTTGCAATAAGAATAAAGAGCAGTTACAGGAGAAGCAGTAGGAAAAAATACTTTTAAAATAGAAAAAATGGTGAAGAAAAGCAGGAGCAGAGCAATTTGCATGAGCATCCACTAACTGCCTTTCTTGAATCCAACATAAAGTATTACTGCTTATATATTTCTGTTCCAACACCTCTGCCCCCTGCCCCTACTCCTAACAGCACCCTCTATCAGAGGGGGAAGCTTCTAGATGTCCTGACTTTTCATTTCAATCACTTTCTTAAGCAGCCACGAGCACTTAAAACTTCTGCAAGTTGCCATGTTCCCCCAGTCCTACTGAAATTAAAAAAAAACCTTTTGATACAAAAGCTAAAATAGTATTAAACAAAGAGATCAAAAGTCTCTGCTCATTCTGAAAGCATTCTGCCTCAAATAATACTTAAAACTGAAGCGCAGGATAAACTTGAAGTGACAGCCTGTACACCAACTCATACAAGGATAGCTATAATCAGAATGCTATTTCAGGTACCTTTCATGCCTGCCTGCCTTTGAAAGACCTACCTTGTTCCTGTGACATAATATCATGGTTCAGAATCAATCTGGGATTTGTTGTGTCCTTTTTGTCAAGTTACATTTTGGTAGTTTAAAGCTGTGCATGCTAAGAAGCCTCATGTTATGTTTCTTTACACAGGATATGCAGGTCAAGACGATGGTGGTTGGTCTTCATTTGTGAGTACTAGGATTAACAAAACCTACTGGTTGAATGGATTTCCTCTTGTATATGGTCTATCCCTTCTTACTTTGTCTACTTTGAACAGTACAGATGGAGTGAGCAATGGCAGGGGGTGTTAGGATGAGGAGAAAGAGAAGGAGGAGCATGAATGACTGGAGTCACTGCACACAGATCTCTCCATGGAGAAAAGGGTCTCCCCCAGTAACTTAATGCAGTGCTTCAGAATGGCAGTCCAATAACACTGGCTCCAGTAGAAGCTCACAGCCTATGACCAGGTCTCCACAGAACCTTTGCGGAATTTTATATACTGATTCCAAGCTGTTTGCAGAGGAGGCTGGTAAAGGAAAGATTGCTGTGTTACTCAATGGCAAAGTCTTGGCATTTTATTCTTTACAGCTCATTTGTTGAAGAATCTGATTTTCTGAAGCCAATTGGACTGCAAAAGTTCCTTTTGCCTTTCAGCACAGAAAATGCTTTGGTGAACATCATTATATGAAGCACCCACAGCTCAGCCAGCTGAATGGATAATCTGACTGATGCCAGTCTGATTTTTTGCAGAAAATGGGGAAGGATTTTTAAATCCCACTTGCTAATAGGTTTGCAGGGGATTTGCTGCTGTTTTAGGAGCACAAAAAGTAAAAGTAATCAACTACAGAGCCCCTCAGTGCAGAGTTAAGCTGAGAATTTCAGCCAAGATACCAATGACAAACTGAGCATTCTTTTCCTTGCAGCCTTGGCAGATTGCACAGAAGTTGTGTGCAGTGACCACTACCATATTTTCACTGTGATCTTACTAGGTCCTGAAAGTTGTGTGAAGCTGGTTTGGTTCTGGTCAGTGGAGGGCACCAGGATCCATACCAAAGACCTCATTTTTTCTGAAGCATTTTTCAAGGTTGAGTTGCAGGCTGCAGAGTACATGTTATTAAGTAAGAATGAATACCAACAGGCATCAACTGCTGCTCCAGTGTGTTTTCAGGGTGCCTTGCCTGTTAACTAACACAAAGGCATTGTGTATTTCAACAAGCAATCACCTTATCTTGACCTTCACCTGCACTTCCTGTTATAAAATGATACTCATTTCCTTTCTGAAGCTGGTGAATGCTGTATGCATTAAGAAAATGCTGCCTCCTTTCCTCACTTTATTTCCACAGTGAAGTTTTTCACTCCAACTGGTTGTAAAACCTTTATATCCTCCAGAGTGAAAACCACCACAGTGAAAAGCCACAAGGAAACTGCACTGGAGTGATTATTAGTATCCTGGTACAGCAATCATTTTTTATGTACATTTACCAGGATGAAGATGATGACTATGAAAGCCCTGATGATGACCAGGAACAGGAAGATGAGGCTGACTATGAATCACCAACAGAAGAACTTGAGGAAGCAGAACATGACAGTGATGGTTATGAGCCTCCTCCATCCAGTAATGATGAAGCACACCACAATGTCATATTTCCTGCCAAGTCACTTGCAAACAACACAGATTATATAGGTAATAACTAAAAATGAAGTGTTATTAATAATTTGTAAAAGGTATTTCCACGCGTTATCAGCCATGTTTGAGATATCTGGTAATGGAATATAGAAAGCTTTTTCTTGAAGTCAGCCGTGTAGTTCATGGACAAGATTTAGTGACAGACTTACAGCATGCTGGTGGCTCTGTGACTTTTGAAGCTAGATTTTCTACTTCAGACAAGCTCTGTTGGGTTAAAGGTAAGTTTCGTTAGTTTCACATGATGTGTACATTCAGGCCTTTGGTCTGAGCTTGTATGAAGCTAAACACGCAGGCGTATTGTATCAGCATTAGCATGCAATCTTGAACAGAGCAAGCTGTCACAGAAGTGGCAAAAAGTGTCCCTTTCTCTGCCTGCAAAGTTTTCATGCCTGATTCTTCAGCAGCCTGCAGTTGTGGCTTCAAACCTGCTGTTGAGACTGGCTGGTGTTTCACACAGTCCCTGCACTGCAGGGAATGAAAAGAAATAGTGTGGGCCAGCTGACTAGCACAGATAGCCACCTCAGAGGCAAAGGGATTCATGAGCCTGTAACTACCAGTACACCATTGATTATGAAGCAACTGTCCATTTATGATATATTAAGTACACAGGCTATTGCAGGGGCCTTTTTCATAAAGATCTAATGAGAATAAAAGAATCAAACTCTGTAGTTGTTTAGTTTGGGATTTTTGTTTCCTCTAGACAGACCTCCAACCACTCGATCATCGCAACAGCCTCCAGTACCACCCCAACGACCCGGCCCATCCCCAGTACCAGCCTCCTTTGGGGGAAGAGGTGCTTCTGTATGTTTCCTTCTTAATACTTCATCTATTTCATTTGGCAGTAGGAACCACAACATTGGAATGCATCTGTCTGGAAAATCTAGGTTTAGATGCCAACATCTTTTGCAGCTGCTGACAGCACAGTGCTGTCTGACCCAGCAACAGTCGGTAACACAGACTTAATATATATTTCCCAACTTCAAATTTACATCCCCTAACTTTAAAACCAGCACGAACTGCATTGAAGGGAGAAAAGGCACAACAGCATTGTTGAAGCTCCCAGTTTTTATCTTTGCTATTTTGTTTACTCATGCCCTCCCTGAAGATAACATCTCTCATTCCTTGTGAGACAAAACAGAATTCTGCCTGTAACAAAACCCTGTATATGTAGGTCATTCTTCAGGAGCGCTAATGGCTCCCATCCTTCCTGCAATGGGCAGAGACCTATTCCTTGTGCTATACCAGAGACCAAGATTGGCAGATGTGATGTGGCAGGTTAATTTACTAAAACTGAAACGGGTAGGTGAAGACACACTTTAACAATATGTAAAACATTTGTTTTAGCTGCCAGCTTTTCCTCCTCCACCAAGCAACAATGACTTGAGTAGAGACAGGAATATCAAGCCTTTGAAACGTAAGTACAGCTGGTTTTCTCCTTATAAAGCTTTCCTGAAATGTTATATAGTGCTTCATTTTTGCTCCTCAGCCCCACTCTCTTCTACTATATGTAGCCTCAGATGTTATTCTAAGCAGTAACAGCAGCTCATGGCCATGCAAAATAAAGCCATACTGACCTATAGTAGAAAATGATCTTACACAACTGTTGTGTTTAGCCCCAGCTCCTTCTATAGACAGAAGCACAAAGCCCTCACTGGACCGCCTTGCTCCACCATTTGAAAGAGAAAGCCCTGGACCAGGTCAGTATTTGCTTGTGTTAATATCAATGGGTTTTTTAATTATTCAAAATTACCAGTTTGAATATCATGCATGCAAATGAACAAGGCTCAACCAAAGGAACTGTAATCCAATCACACTCAAGGTGATGTGTTTATGAATAAACAATATGAACAGTTCTTACAAAGCAAGAGAAATTGTATCTGGGAAGTTGCAAGCCTTGCTCAGGACTAGTTGAACAGAAAGACATTAGGAGATCCCTCTGCAAGAAAGGTTTGAGGCAATTACTTAAGTGAATGAACAAGGAAATATTTAGTAGGTTAAAAGAGAAAATAACTTTTGCATACAAACCTAAGGAAACTGCACACATCACTCTATGTAATTTGGCACCCAGACTTCAAAGAATGATGAGAACTGGAAAAAAATAGGAAAACAAATGTATTTGTTTCAGACCTGAAAACCACATTTTACAGAAAATCTAAACATAATACTCTATGATTTTTATTTATTAAAATCTAAACAGAATACTCTATGATTTTTATTTATTAAAATCTAAACAGAATACTCTATGATTTTTATTTATTAAAATCTAAACAGAATACTCTATGATTTTTATTTATTAAAATCTAAACAGAATACTCTATGATTTTTATTTATTAAACACTTCCATTTGTTATAAAATGGCATAAAAGTATCCAGCAGTTCAAAGTTGAACCATAGAAAATACGCTTGTAAACCATGCCACTTTGAAATGTATAAGAAGGGATACTGCAGTTTTGTCATTCCTTGCAAAGCCAAAAAATCTGTTTGGCTTACGCGTCAGGAGGCCGAATGCTTCAATCTGCAAAATTCACATTCAATGATGTTCAAAACCTGTTTGTTTCATAGAAATTTCAATGATCTTACCTTTCATTTTTTCTGAATGTAAGCTTTTACTATTTTCAGGGAGGAAGCCCAGCACTCCTGAAAAGGTAAAGTCTTTTTGTTTGGAGCTTATTGATATATTTCACCTATTTTGATACACATCCTCTTAACTATTCCTTGTTGTTTTACAGCCTCTGGCTTTACAGCTAAGGTAAGAGTTTTGCCTCTGGAGATGAGACTCTTATTGCAAGTATTACCCAATTATTCCTTAGTAAGCAGCTTTTTGCCTTTATTTTATCATCTTGCTCTTGCTTCAGATCCCTGGGCGAACAGCTAGCAATGATGCCAAAACCTCCTGTCCCACCCAGTGACAGATACGAAAGAGGCAATCCATCTCCTCTAAGGAAGCCAACCCCTGTAAAGTAAGTGTTCATTTAACTGAAATTTCATAAAGGATGAATTCAATTCAATAAAATCACAGATAAGCAATACAGGATGGTAGAACTTACTGTCTCTGCATAACAGCAGTGCCTGTGGTTATCAGTTTTGCCCTATGAACATGCATGGGCTATGCTGTAAGTGACAGAAGAGTGTGAATGCAGGAGATTTCCCCAGCCACATCTGAAACAGCCAAGATGCACAAAGAAATGTGTGATCCGTGATTTTTACTAAAACTGAAACAGAAGGGTGATCAAAAACTTGACCGGATCAAGTTCTTGCTCTGGGGAATATTCCTTCATGAGTTCTCTGGCTATTGTTTTTAGGATGTTAGAAAAAGAAAGCTTTACTTTCCTACCATTGATTTTACTCACCTGCAAAGCTCCTTCTCAGCAGCAAACAGCAGAACTAGATCATTCTCCAGCATTTTCTAGATAACTTGTGGGTTCAATAGTGTGACTGCTCTTAAAACAGGAAAAGAAAGTAATCAAGATCTGCTAATCGGCCAGGATAATTTATCAGCGAAAGGATAACTGGAAGGCTTAGTGTGTGCTCCAGCAGTGTTGCTAAGGACTAGAAAGAAGTTTAAGACTTGCAGTTTAACGCTCCATAATTGTACAAACTTGTTTTAAATTCTAATATCATGATTAATTCATCAGATGTTTTCCTTGTTGATAGAGTTGAGAGGGGCTAAGGACTAGTGTGACATCTTAGAGGTGGAAATTAGAATCTCAGGTATTTTTATGAGGGGAAAAAATGTTTCTGCATTCATTAGGTCTGTATACTTGCTACAAATTCATATCTTAGTTGAAAATACAGCCTAATGCACACAAAGTACATGAGTAACATTCCACCTGTGATTCATGTTTTGTTTTCTGTTTCATTTCAGGCAGGGTTGGCCACTACACAAAACGCCTCAAGTAAGTATAGTCTCAAAGCAAATGCTTAAAGGTATAGGGACTACAATAAAATGAAGTACCTGTATAAATTAATAATTCTGGAAAAGGTAAACTCATTTCTTTTATCAGTTATAAAAAATACTCTGGGTTTCTTTTTGAACAGTTCTTCTATGTCAAGCTCAGTTTATTCCCAGAGTAATTTATCTTGGATACACAATAAGACCAGAATTTTTTCTGTCATGGGAGAAGTGACTTTGCTTACACTAGGTTTGGGGGTTCTTTTCCAGCTTAAGCTGGCCTAAGGAGTTCACTTTCAGATAACTCATAGCCTGCACTTCTTGATGGAATGGGGAAAGTTTACATCAGCTGAGAATTTCTTACTACTTTGGGTCAAGATCCATCTACCTCACACCTTATTTGTAATAATAGAGCTTGAAAAATGATTTGGTGTTGGATGAAGATAGAAATCCCAGCAGTTTGGATGAAAGTGACAGTATAGAATTGGAGTCCTTGTATACTTAAAATTCACCAACTTCCAGGTTTTTGTTTTGTAAAACATTCCTAAGACCTGTGCTATAATATGTTGCTAATGTTTCTTTTCTTTTGGCTCCCCAGGAAGAAGACGACAGTGAGTATCTCCACTGTGATTTTTAAAACTTTAAGTCTTTCTTGGTCTTAGTTCTAAAAAGAAAAAAGGGATTGCAAAGTTGTTTCTTTAAAGCCACTTCAAAATGTCGGGTGGTATCTTGAAGTGTTGTAGAGTGCTTATAAGACACCTCCTACAGATGTATATATCAAAGCTGCAAAACACAGGAAATCAATAGCTAATAGACCCTTCATAGTCAGCCACTTACAGGACAGCAGGGCTCCTTAGCTTGAAATACATTTCATTTTAGGTATTTGTGGTCTGCACACAGCATCAAACAACATCAGGCAGCTGGGCATGTTAGACCTGGTATCCTCCCAGCCTGCAATCAAACATCCCGTCAGACCCTGCTGGTCTTCTGTGCAATGTTGTTTACTCTAATGGACAGAAGTAGAACTTGTTTCATGTAATACTGGTATTTATAAATTACTTCAGAATCCTGGTTCCTAAAATGAAGTTTGTAAAGTGATGGCCTAACAGAAGCAGAACATTTGGCCAAGTCTATAAATTACCACTGCCTCTAAGCCTCAATGAAGAAGAGGGCTGTTTGAGCTGTGCAGAGAGCAGCTAATCTACTCCCCTCTTACCAGTAGCTGATTTCTGAGGACACTGCAGAAGAAAATCTTTTATTTTATGCTGTTGTTTATGATGATATGGGAGAAATTTCACAAAGGAATGAAGTTCAGGAAGATAACCTCTAGTGCACTCTTTAGAAGCAACATAACAGAGAACGGATAGTTACGTACCATCTTCAGCTCCATGGCAGTCATCTGAATTTTGGCTTGTCCAAAACTGAAGATAGAACATGTAAATGTAAATGTTGCTCAACCCATTCCAGTTTGTCATTTTAATATTTAAGATTAAGTTCTCACTTGACCATCTGAGTTTACAATCTGTAACTAAGATATCAAAGACGTTTTATAGAACGTTTCCTCCATTATGATTATCAGTTAAACAACAGCAATGTGACACCAGTTCTTCATTCTACCTCCTTTAAGACTATCTCACAAGTTTGACATTTCCTTCTCTTTCTCTCCACAGCAGCACCCCAAAGAACAGTGCCACAGATATCTTTGCCTCCATACAGCTCCAATACATTCCCATCCAAATCTGTCAAGCCTCCACCTAAACCAAGCTCCAACATTCTGCCTGGTGCAGAAAGGTTTGTTTCACCCATTATTGTGTCATTCCTGTGAATCTCTCTGCAATTTAACAAATAATGGTATGTAGGTGGCTACAGGGTTCTCAGGTGAACACAAGGCAACGACTTGAAGTAGTCCATTATTTTTCAGGCTATATCCTTGCCTCCACTACATGATAATTTGTGTTGTTCCTACTATCAAGGAGAATCCTTCATATAACTGAAGCTCTGTATCCAGTGAAGCAGATAATGGACATATGGCAACAAAATAAAACCAGTCTCTCAGGTTTATATCAAGGCAGTATTTTAGGGCCTACATGGTCCAATGCTTCTGTTCTCTGCCATTGCCTCCAGGATCCCTAAGAATGACAAGACCTTTTGGGAAAGGATAATCATCATAAAAACCTGTGCAGGATGTAGGGCAGAGGTTCTTCTATAGGAGCCTAAGTGCTACAGCTGTGACTAATAATTGCTTCAGAACTAAAACCCCACCACCTTCGCTGTCTAGAATTGAATGTGGAATATACTCTAACCATTAAAATTCCTATTAAAATTGTGAGCCTTGCTTCAGTTGTGTTTTCTTTCCAGCTTCAGCTTCTAAGTATTAGATTGCTATGTCTTCATTTGCTAGATGGAAGAGCCCTTAATTAAATTTTGATTTCTGATGCAGTGTGCAACAGACCAAGCTTTGATGAGTTACAGTGGACTCCTTGAGTCTAAGTCTCAAGTACATTTTCTAAGCTCTGTATTTTTTTAATGGCTCTTTGATGAATTCCTCCTGTTTACCGTCATCCTCTGGAGCTGCTGACACCTCAGTAGAACAAATATTGCAGTAGCAAAAGCAAGGTCATATGCAAATAGGAACTATTCCTATGATGAACACTTCTGCTTACATTCAAACAGCGTTGCCAAATTTTGCTATAGCAGAGGCCCCATTTGGCTGATTCTCTCCCATGAATCAAGTCATGATAGCATGGTTTTATTCTGCAAACATAATTAACATATTTATCGCAGAGCTTTTTGTACTGTTCATTTAAGCAGGAGAGAAATATGAACTATAAAGGAAAAGAGTGCAGGCAGTTTGTTGCCAATGAAGTACTCAGGCCATAAAAGGGAACTGTAGGTTTTCTAACCAAAAAGAATAGAAATGAATACAGGAGGGAGATCATAGGTACACAAAGGTGTTACGGCACTGTGGGTATGAACTCAGGGCCACTGTCAGCTCAGAGAATCAGGGTGGTTGAGGAGGCCAGGAATCTCTGGACATCACCTGGTCCAACCTCCCTGCTCAGGCAGGGTCACCTACAGCTGCCCAGCACCATGTCCCGATGGCTTTTGAGTATCTCCAGTAACGGAGACATAATGGTGGATCTACTTACACTTAAAAAAGGAAAGAGAAAGAGGAGAGGGCAGGCTACCCTCATCCTGCATAGGTCTCAAGAGGATCTTATGTTCTGTAAAACAGGCTCCTCGGAGCATAGAAATGTACAGCAGTGTTGTAGTTATACTGACTCCTTTGTTTTCCTTTTAAACAGTGCTAGAAACTGCTCTTCAACTGGCTCACTACCACCACGCTTACATCTAGGTTTGTATCCTGCATTTCTGCCTTTTTTGTACAAAAAATGACTGAAGGTTGAAAGGTGCCTTCAGTGCAGTCAATGTAATGGCTTTTCTCTAAGGATGTTTCTGGTTGGACTGTGAACAGAAAACTATCATCAAGTTCCTGAAAGGCATCTTGTGTAACTTAGCCTGAATCAAAGATGTTTTTTTCCAATGAAGTTAGGGCTTAATGCTTAGCTAAACCACTGTCAAAACCTCATATAAGCATCTTTTTAATATATACTGATACATATAAATACATATTTTATATATACTGAGAGCTGAGCAATATTACCTGCAAGTCACTGTGGTGTACTAATACTCTCAGAAAAGGGAGCAACCCCTTTCCATGTGAAGTATGCTGCATGTTTAGCTTGTAATAACAAGTGATAGATAAAGGAAGCTTAGAAAGTGATTGCTTTGCAAATAATTTTCCACATGTTTAACAGCTGCCGATGTCTTACAGTGACATTTTGTACCTTCTCCATGCTAAGAAGGCAAGGAATGCAAAGAGACACGTTACATCTAACTGTCTCTTAAGAAACCAGAGCTGTTCTCAGCTGAATAACTGTGGTACAGAAGCTCAAAAGCTGTAACCTCTGTTTCAAGTTCACCTGCTCGTAACTGAACTGCAGGAGTTCATTAAAGTCCCCGTGCACCAAGGATGAATTTATGTAAAGCCGGGTCTCATACAGCAGCCTAAATCTAATTTCAAATCAGTTCAAAATGTGTCAGTATCAGAGGGACAGAAATTCTTCATGCCTCACAAAATCCAAATTGTACTCCCTGTATGCACTCCACAGATAGATGAAATTATTTTCCCAATTTTAACATTTTTCCTCTTTTTCTATCTTTGAAGGAAGCTACAGCAGATCCCCTTCAAGAGGCGCAGCTGACATAAGACCTCCTCTGCCAATTCCTAGCAGACAGACTGCTCACCAAACTAACACGGAGGAAGATGAGGTACAAAACATCACAAGTGTTAACCATCACTGCTGAACAGCAAATGTTGTGATTTCAAGAAAGAAGGGTTGTTCAAAGTTGTTTTTCTAGAAAGTAGTCAGTATCAGGATGTCAGAATGTGCTTTCAGTTTCCTGTGCTGACTTTAGTTCCTTAGGTTGTCTTCCCCAAGAAAGACTATAGGAAAAACCCAGTAGAACAAAGTAAGAAAAATACTTGTTTGCTGGATTACTTGTTTTGCACAATTGTTTTCAACTACCATCACCCCTTGGGTTCTCCTTCCACAAAACCTAGGTGTGTAAACAATTCATACCCTTTTAAGTGCATTTTTGTTTCACATTTCTTTAAACATGACAAGTTTAGAGTAAATCACTCCTGGTGATAACACTGCTGGCAACCATACATGGCATGTTTGCAGGAAGGCTGCAGGTTGCCTTAGATGATAGTGAAAAAAGGAAAAATTAAATAATTATTAGAAAAGCCACCACCATGCCCTAGGCAGACAGAAGAGAAAATGTCATTTTGAATCTATCTTGTACTGAAAATATTTAGAAGTTTCTGTTTTCCAGCCTACTTGAAGACACATTTTAACTAGGTCTGTAGCATGTTCAGATTTATCCAAGAAGCCAATCATAGTAAAATCATGTAGTGTCACTCACCATACTGGTATAATCCCTGAAGCTCGCTCCCTCAGACATTCTGCACATGATCCCAAATGTCCCTCACAATCCAATTTCTCTTTACTATTTGTACTATCTCTTTACTATTTCTCTGTACTATTTTACTATACTCATACTGTTTGTATGTTGTTAACATCACAAGCTAATGAATTTCACAGCTTTCTCCCCTCTTATACCCCCCAGGACTCACTACACAATGAATGGTACGTTGCCTATGTTAGCCGGCCAGAAGCAGAAGCAGCTCTTCGGAAGATAAACAAGGTACCCTTTAAATCCTTGGTGCTTCCCACCATCCCCTTTCTAGATGTCCTTGCAGTCATATGGGAAGAGTGAAGGTAAAAAACAGCTTAAGGTTATAGTGCCAATATAACGACTTGGAGTGGGGGATGCTTCTTGAGTATCTTTACACACACAGAAGTTACATGTCTAGTCTAAACCAGACATGAAGGCTGTTGGTTTCCATAGTCCAAGAGAATAAATGATGTGTTTCCACAAAGCAGTTTCACCTCACCTCTCTTAGGAGCAGTGACTTGTACTCTGGAAATAACTCCCTGTCACCAATGAGGAATTTGTTGCTACCCTCAAGTTTTAGATAGCTTGAGTTAGATGAGGTAAATCCTACCCTCTTCTAGGCCACATTTACCAGCAAAATGAAGTAGAGACACAAAGAGATAAAACCCAGGCTTAACTGTGCATGTGGAGATGAACCAAACTGAACCCCATTGCTGTAGGAAATCTGTTTACTCTATGAGGCTTCACAGCACATGCGATGAAGATGACACAAAAAACATTTCCATGACTTGTACCAAGGTCCAGATCACATTCAGTACCTTTAAGAAAGGGTGTTTCAATGGAAGACTTGTTAAAAAAGATCTGAAATGAAGAAAAGCAGAGGGAGGTGGCTGGACAATGTCACTGCCTTTACTAAAATGACACAGACACTATCCTTACTTCAGGCTGTCTGTAAATAGATCACACAGGATCCTTGAGTGGCACTTACTGGAAATGAACTGCTCTTCCGGTTCAAGTGATGTGAGGTTTGGCCTTTGATATTTTACTTCCTCCTTCAATGGAATCTCTTCATCACAGAACAGTGTTCTTCCCTTCTCTAAAACATTTGCATTTGTATCAGACAGGAAAGTTTTAAATAGCAAATTGAAAGATAAAACATTAGAGAAATTGTCTAAACTCTTTAATAGTGCAGCTTCTCTTACCAGGAGGAAAGACATTTCAGAAAGAAAAAACATTGAAAAACATGAGGCCAGGTTGGATGGAGCTTGGAGCAACCCCATCTAGTGGAAAGTGTTCTTTCCCATGGTAGGAAGTCGGAACTGGATGAGCTTTAAGGTCCCTTCCAACACAAACCAGTCTGGGATTCTATGATTCTATGATGAATGCTCTAGCTCAGGTTGTTATGCTGCTCAAACCTAGAAGTGATGGGGTTTTGTCATCCTTCATTTTTTCATCTTTCAGGATGGAACATTCTTGGTAAGAGACAGCTCAAGAAAAACTGCTACTCACCCTTATGTCCTGATGGTGTTGTACAGAGATAAAGTATACAACATCCAGATTCGTTACCAGGAGCAAAACCACTTATATTTGTTAGGAACTGGCTTAAAAGGAAAAGAGGTACTACGTGTTTTTCATACTACTTCCCTTTATCTCAAGGTATCTCCTGTCTCATTCCTATGTGTCAGGCCACTTAACCTGGCAGCTGTTTTACTCCAGTGGAATTCTGCATATTGTCGTAGAGTTATTCCTGATAGAACATATTACTGCTGGAAGTGAAATCAGATTCCCTTCAGGGAATGAAGGGATAGCTTTAGAATGCAGCTATAAGAAATCCATATACCTGGTTGGGAACGTTTGCTTACCACTAGGATACCAGATAAGGGAAGTAAACATCTGAGAGCAAATCCGTATCTGCCAACTTTACTGCTTTGGACCCAGACAGCTGGTTTATTCCATTCAGCATACAGGTTGGGTTTCCTGGCACCAGACAGACTGGGCAGCACATGTACCACAGTTCTGGTTGAGTCATAGCTCTCTGAATTTATCAGTCATCTTTTTGAACTTCCAGGTGCGCTCATCATGGCAAGCATGATCTGATAGTATTTACTAGACCCTATAAGACAGCTAAATATTTAGAGTTAAAAAAAAAACAAAAAACCTTGGTTTTACTAATTATGAATCATTCTGACATTTGTGCCATATCCTTCTCATTGTTTTCCATCCCACAGGATTTTTCTTCTGTAGCAGATATCATAGATTACTTCCAAAGAACGCCTCTCCTTCTGATTGATGGGAAAGACAGAGGGTCAAGAAACCAGTGCATGTTAAAATATGCTGCAGGACATATTTAAATGAGACCTTAAGGAAGATTACATATAATATTGATGCTTCTGAAGTCTGTAAACATCAGGATATTGACTTTTACAGCAAACACAAGTCATGAAGTCATTAAAAATCCTTTTGATTTTAAGCAAAAAGGACAATGTTATTTTTAAATTATGCCTTAAATGCAGCACTCTGAATCTGATTTTCTTACTATATGTTTATTACAGCCCACTAATCATACAGTGCATGAGAAAATTGTACCTTTGTGTGTGTCTTCTTGCAATGACTTCCATGCCTAGTTAGAGCACCCAGAAATAAACACCAATACAAGCCCCTGTTTTCATCGGAGGAAAAGGAAAAAGCTATTTTTCAGATCAGAACAGCAGCAGCAGTTGTGTTATGTAAAGTGACACAGAGTAGACCGAAACCTTGTCAAAGTTGAGGAGTAGACAAAAGACAATAAAGGCCCTATTTTTTCCATCAATCCGCTTCCCAGTAAATCTAACTATGGCCACTTCTGTGAAAACAGTGAGCCTCTGATCGGGATCCTAAGGACACGTGGGTTTTAGAGACACCAAGAATCCCTTAACACTGGATATGCAGCTGCCTGTCAACGTCTGTGTCTGTGTTACTCAGCTATGAAATTGTCTTTGTTCACATTTTTTGAGGAAAATAAAGCATCTGCAGCTTTCATATTCTCTTTGCCATACCACTGGTGATTCACTGATGGCATGTCTTAGCCTGCAAGCTGGAATTATGTACCTCTAGGAGCCTCTAACCTCAGTCAGGAACAAGCATTTTCCCTGAGCACAGACCTCTCTTTAGCTGTGTCTGACTCTAAATTAAGCAACTCCTTTTTCATAGGAACCACATCAACAAGATTCTCAACACATGATTCTTCATGAGCAGAGCACCCCCCATCTCTTAGAAAGCAGGCACACATGCTCAGCCTGAACTCGGTTCCTCTTACACAACTGCTTTCTGGTTTGACTGTATTTTTTCAAGAAAACCAGTAACATCCTCAGTTCTAAACCAGCAGTCACAACTGAGACCACTGAAGCACACCACGCCAAGGGATTTTCCCATTCCTTGTTGAGTGGGATTCATCCAACCCCAGGTTTCTACTAAGCTTTATTTTCTGCCAAGACCTTGGTTTGATAGTTACGTTAGACTTTGTGACACTTCTCCTTTAAGAGTCCTTTGTGGATATATCACTTGAAACATCTGAACCAAAATTCAAGGCAGAAAAACATCTTCTATGTAATCTGAATAGCTTCTCAAGTGAAACAATCAGATTTCATCAACAGTCTTACTTTACATGTTTGGTAAATGTTATCTTCCTTTCTAATACATTTAGCTAGGAACTGGAATTCAAAGTCAGTGAATTTCATTTCCATGCAACGAGTCAAAAAACAAAAGATGAAAAATAAGATTTCAAAAGTGCTTCAGCTGACAAATCCGTTTCTAGCTCAACATCTGTAAAAAACTCACTCCTCATCTGTGAAAGAGGAGTCAGGTCTAATGCGTGTTTTAAAAACCATGCTAAAATTACGAACAACATCCCCCAGATTACCAGTGACTCTGTGAGCCAAACTGTATTTCACTGCACTGCCTTGCAAATCTGACAGCCTCAAACCACCTCCCATAGAACTGTTAGATTTGTTTGAAATCAGCCCTTAGTGAAAGAGAAATGTAATGCAAATCAGCACAAGAAATATAACACTGCTCATTTTTTTCAGCAGAGTGAATCTTGAGTTGATTATTCAGAGAAATATATTTGTATATGAATACAAAACACACCTCAACATTCAAACATGCCCACAAGTAAAGTAAGATTGAATATTTATTACAATGAACTACATGAAAATACTGGCTACTCAGATTTTGGGCTGAGATTTCAGAATATTCAGACCTCTAAACCAGTAAGTCACTGCAGGCTTTCCAGAATGAAAGTACTTTTGGTTTACCAGAAGTAGTCTGCTCTTTGCCCCCTTCCTCAGCAGCACTTTCAGAATGAGGAAGGAAGATCAAATGACAACTTGCAGTTTCCCCTCTACGGACTGTTCCTTATCCCGTTTTCCAGAGCACAACTGAGAAAAGAGAGCAATGACTTGACTTGAAGTGACTGAAAATCTTTTGTTACTGTTCCAGTACATCTTTGTTTCAAAGGCAACAACTACATATGAAAACCTTCAGGCCCAGATCCCCGACCTCTCTAGTTAATTCTATCCATTTTCCCAGCCCTAGTGGACTAAATTTGGGTTGAAAAAAAACCCATCTCAAGATCAATAACCTACTTATGGCATTTTTCCACTCCACATTTTCAGTTTAAAATAAGAATAGCCTAACTGCAGGAAAGCATGCTATAATTTTACAGTTCAAACTGAAGCAGTATTAATAGAAGATGCTGCATGAAAATGGATGTTATTAATCTGTCAAGCTCCACTGTTTTTCTTCAGCTTCTCTTAAATCTTTGGCCTTCACAGGATGGTTAAAGTTCAGGATAAGGTCACAAAGCAGTAACTGGCTTTCCACTGGAAGACAAAGGGGCAGCATATCACTATCACGTTTATTGAATGGTAGATGCTAACAGAATGGCAGTTTATATACTGGACTTTCTGAAGTGTTCATCTATCAACGCTTTAAAACATGCAAAGGGTTGCCTCGTTTTCTTTGCCTCAGGATGGTGAAATAAAGTTTGGTGTTAGCATACTGCTAATATTTCTACCAGAAAAGGATTATTGTTCCCACAAAGGAATGACTTTGACTGGATACCAGGTTTTTGCCATGGTTAGCCAATATCATTCCACTTCTAGGCAACTACTGTTTCATTAATTTTTCTAACAAGACGAGCAACTGCTTTCTTTCATTAGAATACAAACCAGCTGCATGACGCAGAAACCCAAGCCATTCACAGCTGCACACTCTGTAACCTGTGTTTAAGTGGACAAGGAACTCAGAATTACCAGTCATTTTTTTCAGCTCACTGGACATCTCGTCAATGTTTTTAATTGCAGCTTCAAGGGTGAACTGTTGACAAGCAGCAGCGGTTTTGAACACCTGTATGAAATAGAAACAAAACATAACGGGCAGTGCACATATGCTTCACAAACTCAGTAATCCAGCTAATCACAAGCTATGCGAAATGTTTTCTTTCATTTTCTAAAATAGTAATTTTAAGTAAAACTTCCCACCTCTAATACTTACCCGCTTAGATAAGGCAAAAATAGCTAAACTACTGAAGGCAAGGACTAAACACTCAGGCTTTATTTTTGTTTGCAATGAAATTAATCACAGCTAAAATTTCCTCTCCTCACCCGGAGTTTGTCGTGTTTGTTTTCGACTGTACTTTTCCCCTAGAATCTAAATGACAGTGAATCGTCAGGTAATATTCAGTCAACCACAAGATGGCGCTATCGTGACAGTAACATGAGCAAAATAAATTAAATCACTGTTAACACTGAATACTAATGATATGCTAATTCATGCCATATATCTCTGTGTCTGTATAGGCAATTATTTTATAATCAACATCTTCTTGCTTATTTTGGAGGTCATATTCCCTCCCTTTAACGCTTAATTTAAAAAAGCAAAATCTAGAGACAAGACTACAAGCTGTTTGACATTAAGTACTATTTGAATTTGTAAATTTATGCTACCCTCCTTTGTAGGATTATTTTTTCTTCTTAGGAAAACCATTAAAGAAAATTGCACATACTATATTTCCTCACCTACTTATAAGCTCTCTATTTGCCATTCAGAAATGCTGAAAATAAAACATAGAAAACCTCTGGGTGGTTCATTAATAATGCACAGAACACCTCGGCATGCTGAGAACCAAGAAACCAAACATACATTTAACATCGATTCATTGTCCAAGTCTCTCTTCCCTTCAGACAGTGGCTTTGCATTGAGGTCAGCAGTCAGGGCCAAAGATCCTAGAAGGAACAACAAATCATGACAGAGTAATATATATAGTATAGGTAGAGCTCATATCAAATATATAATAACATTTAATAAATATAACGATTAGACCTTAACATCATTAGTGTCATTTGAAAGTAGAGTTTAATGGGTTGATTAGTTCCTCTTGAGAAATACTAAATTCTTGGGATATATTTATTTTACTTTCTTTCAGAAACAGCATCTCAGAAATCTTTTAGGAGTTAAATATGGAATTATTAATAGTAAATAAGCATATTTATAATACTGATGAAGAATTCCTTACGCAAAACTCTATATTTTTTAGTCAAAAAATTAAAAAAATGTCTGTAAAGACCATTGCAATTGGTTTCTTCTCTCAATTTATGGAAGGAGACTCTAAAGCCCACACAAAATAAGTCAAGTGTTAGATGTCTGCTGGTCAATAGCAGAGCTGAGATTTACTACCAGATCCCTGGGCTCTTTCTTCCCCCATTCTCTTCACTCTTCAATCCCTGCACAACAGGACACCCTCAGGCAAGCTTAACTGTAGAACATCACTGGGAAACTGTTTCAGCACTGAAAAGAGAAGGAAAAAACCAAGGGGTTATTTCACCCTGGTACTGTGTTTGTTCAGAAAGGGTGCAATGAAATGAACAGAGCCTGTTCTTAGCAGACAAAACAGGGTGCCCTTTTTTTTACTACCATCCACAAATGGCCTGCAGTGAGAGAAACCTCTCTGTGGGGCTCGCGATGGGATCACAGGGTGAAGCCCTTCCCAGGAGGGTACTAGCTCTGATTGCCACAGGAGCCATCATGAAGCCATAAGGGAGCCCCACAAGGCTTGAAGTCTTCCTGTTACCAGAGGCTGTCCTGACCCAGCAGCACTGCAGAAGGGGTGCCTCACAGGGAGAGGCTGAGGACTGAAGTAGAGCGATGACAGATAGCCACCTCACAGATTGTCAGGCCACGGTGACAGCACTCCCCTGTTCTTGGGCGTGTTTCATGGGCAGGTACACTTAACCAGAGTCAGAACCATCGGCACCAACTCTACCACCGCATGCAGGAGCGTGAGGCCTCAGAGCCCCCAGGGATAGCCTGCAGAGATGGCCCAGCCCAGTTACTAGCAGCAAACCTCACACAACACCAGACACCTCAGAGTGACTTTACTCCTCTTCCTCCTCTGGTAACATGGAGACAAGCAGGGCTGTCCCTGCAGAAACCACAGCTTGCCTGATGTCAGAGCTCCTGGTGGGGTCTGTGGGCAGGCGGCAGCAGCGCAGCTCTTTCCAACAGAGTAAAGAAGCCTGCTGCTACCACAACCTGGCTGCACCACAGCTTCCTCCTGGCTGGCAGCAGGATGGGTTGGTCACTCCAGTTCAGCCCAGTGACGCATCAGGGGTGCCCTGGCCTGGGGCTGGCAGCAGCCTGGGAAGGAGGATGGGCATGTCCCTGTGCAGGAAGAAAACACAATGCACCCCTTTTCCAGCACATGAAATGTCAGCAGGTTGCAAGAGCCCTGTAGTTGTGATTTTAGGAGTGGGAGGAAAAAGGTAACCGCAAATGCTGTGAGAGCTGAAGAAGAAATGGAGAAGAGAGGACTGAGCTGTCAACAGGGGGTAGCAAATGGTTATTTTCCCCTTGTCCTTTGAGGCCCTCCCTGCTCTTATTGAATGTTGCCGCAACTGATTTCCAAGCAGTCAGTTCCTTCTTGTCATCAATTCAAATTCAGAAAGAATACAAGTAATTTATAATAAGTAAAGATCAAATAAAGAACCTAAATTCAAGGAAGACAAGAAAGGCACACAGCTGTGAGGATTTATCGATTTCAACTGCCACAATAAACACTGCCCTTAGATGCACATATCTGACTTGAGTCAAAACCAACAAAACCTGCTAAATAACGAGCTGGTGTTGGGAAATGGCCATTTCTTTCCCAGTGTGCCCTGTAGAACTTAAAGCCAGGGACACAGAGCAAGGGAAGGGAACAACCCTTAGCACTTTTCCTGCTGCTCAGCATTCATCTGTATTTTGAACTTGCCATTTGGCATGGGTGGAGAAGGGCTACCAGTACCTCAGAGGACCACGGAAGTACTTGGATGTGCAGTGGAGGACAACAGATGGAGAAGTCAGCTGCCTCCCATTTACTTATTCCTTTCTCCATTGTTTGTTTACAGGGGTGTGCTTTCAAAAAGCTTCCTTAAAATGAAGCATTTTGTGACTGTGAGTGAAGCTAAACTGCACCTCAGAATAGCTTTTTCTGTTAGATTAAACTGTGATTCAAAGAGAAAGTACGACAGGCTGCTTAGATTGTGGGGCTTTCTGAAGGTGAGAAATGCAGGGCAGGAAACACTTGACACAGGCACTAATTCCTGTAGTACATCTAGTCTTTCAGTTTATCAGGTCTTGCAAGGACCCTAGTGCAAATAAGGTAGCTTTGCCCTTTCTGTGTGCCTCTAGGGAGAAGTCCCCCAGGGTTTGCAAGAATCTGGTGGTTTTGCTGGCAGAGTGCCAGAGTATAGAGTGTGTACAAAGCAAAGGTAAACCAAGGTGGGCTTATATATCTCCTATATCAGAAAGAGTATATAAAATATATGTATATAAAAAAGTAAAACAGTAGCCTAGCAACTACTGGAAAACCTTTGTGACAGTCTAAGCAGAAGTTAATTTCCTCACCAACCTGTAAAGGAGAATGCTTTATTGGCTGTCAGGAATGGGGCTAGTGGAGGGAGCTACAGTGAAGACCAACAGGCACCTGCTTTACTGGAGCACTGCTGGGAAAAACAGGTTTAGTATCCTGGGGTGGTGTTAGGGAAGGGGAAAAAGTCTGCTATCCCCAGGTGAAGGGAACTATTGAGTAAGGGGCAGTTCCTCAGGATATGGAAGGCACTTCCACCTCTGTTCAAATCTTTTCTTTAAGTTTACTTTCCACATTTGTTTTTTCCCCACATCCTATAAATAATCTTTCACATTGTACTTAAATTCATTTGTGAACTACCTGTGGAAGGAAAAATAGAATATCAAAATCACAAGAAAAACTATATTTAATGTATCTGCAATGAACTGAGTTGCCAGACGAATCCGCAAATCAAGTAGAGCAGGTCATAAAGGCAAGGCCTGTCTAAAAATACTCTTCAATAATCTGAGGTATTAACCAGCAAGATGACCAACAGCGTAGGAAGTTGATTGTACAAGGCATTTTCCTTTAAGAAGAAAAAAAGAGAGTAAGAGAGATCTAGTTTCTACAATCAAAATTACTTGGAACTAAAATACTTCCTGGATTTCTTGAGAAGTTAATATTTCAAACCAAAACCCTGAAATTAATAATCTAAATTACTACGTTTCTCTTCTGTGTGAGGTGTGTAAGTGCTGCTAACAATTTCCTACCAGCATTATCAGTTTAGGAGCTGCAGTTTCAGCTCTGCCTGAGAGAAACCTACAGGTTTCTGTGCAAAGATACATGCAGGTGAAGTGGATTTAACTCTTTTTCCTCAGGGCCTGACCTAGCTGAGCTGTGCTAACACGAGGAACAACCAGCTCCCTCAATACTTCCTGAGAACACGCTCAGTTATGGAAGGTGAAGCTGCTCAGCCGCCTTTGTGAATCCCAGATAAAGACAGAATTACTACCAAACCAGCTCTCTAAGGAAGAGAAACGATCAGGAGCACTACAGATATATTTCAGCTCATGAATTTAGGATCATGATGTGAATCAGCCAGCACTGCAGGTAACTGAATCAATGCAGATCCCTTTACAAACTGCCTTCCACACCTCTGTAGTAAAATTACTTTGAATGCAACTTCAGGCAAAAAAAAAAACCAATTTAATCCACAACTGTTTGAAAGAGACTGATCTCATGTTGTAGCTCACGGTTACAACAATATTTCAAAGCAATTGTTCTAATGGGAAGTAGAGAAAATCTATTCACTTTAAAGACAATAGTTTAGTGAATGGCTTGTTTTTTAGAATCTGTCAAGGAAATGCTATCTACAAGCACTGTAATACATAGGAGGTGAGATATAAGGAAATTTTTCTGAAAATATAACTACTTCCTGTTTGAAAACGTTAGCTTTCATAGCAATTCCTAGTGGGTCTAATAGGACAGTTTGAAGTTTCAGTGCATTTTACTGAACTTTCACCCAAAAAGCTCTAACAAAAGAAGAACTGCTTTTTTACCACTGCCTAAGTGTGAAAAATGCCAATCCAGATTACAAGGGAAGTCAAATAGAAACCAAACCAACTCACATACAAAATCACCAAACCTCAAAATATGACAGTTATTTCTGATGAAACAATGTCTGTCATGAGCTTTAGAGCACAAGCATGATGAAAACTGGTAAATGCTGAAGGCCCAAAAAAAGTCTGACCAGATCACAGTACAAAACAGTAAAGCACAAGCCAGACTTTGCCTTGAAAAGCTGAGGCAAGCAGTGACAGGTAGGAAAGACTGCTAAGTGAACTGACTGGCCTTAATACCTGCTTGTGAACGAGGAGGGGTAAACACCAAGCTAAAACACATACTTGGGATGTAGAATATTGGGTTGTGAAACTCCTTTGCTTAGAGAGTTTTCAGCCAGAAAACTTCAGAAAGTTATCTAACCCATTAAACACTTTCCTAAGAATACGTTAATAAACCTGATTAAGAAAAACGTTAAAACTGGAAGCGTTCCACCTACAGACCGAAACCCACCCACAGCAGCCACCTACCAAAGTCCATTTTTTTCCTAAGAAACTGATTGCATTAACTGCATACATGTAACAAAATCAGACAACTGTTCAGACCATGCAAAGCCCAACACTCCACCTAGCGCTTGTCCACATCGGTTTGCTGCTTGCTGTTTGCGTATTATCAGACTTAGAAGCATGTATCATTGCATTCTATTTTAGATACTAATTTAAGGAGACCCTGAACAACACGGATTATAGAAAGCAACACATGAGGATGCCTGCCTAAGCATTTACCATAATGCCTTCCCTTCAGTGAGCAAAGAGCTAAGAAAACGCACAGTGGCACCACTGTACAGAGCTCTGTTTCCTTCTGCTGCTTGACCAGGATGTATTTTTCTGGCCAGTGCTATGTTTTTCAAGCTCACAGCACATCATTTAACATCTCAGATGTTCACGTCTTCTGTTTCTTTGCGTGGACATTTTCAATTCTAACATTAAACCTACAAGGTGCTTCCCACTGCTCTGAAATATATTCCTGAAAACTATTTTCTAATAACAACAGACAGCATAAGTTTATACTCTGGAAGGTCTCCACTTAGTGATATGGAAAGGTCTTTTACACGGTAATAGGTTTTAAACAATAGATTTTAAGTAGTTCTTAAATGTAGTATTTAAGTTAATTACATGGGATGCTAAAGATATGAATATTCAATGACTGAAGAGAAGTGCATGTATACTGCCAACACAGATGGAATCATCTGTGGGAACTACTTAGTTGATATGAATACCTTTTGTGTAAAAATAAAGGCATATTTCTGGCAGATCCTTCATAAAAACATTTCTGCTTTTCAGTTTTTTAGTAAAGAATTGTGATTAGGTGGTGAGATTTTAAGAGATAAACAGTAAATATC